AACGATGTACAAATGCGCTTTACACAATTGATGTGTGTATGGATTGGGATAACAGTTGTATGAGCCCCTAATAAAATGTTAAAAAATAAAAAAATAAAGTAAAGCAAAACTGAAAGTTTAATTTAAAAAATCAGATACTGTCTGCTCATTTTCTTTCTAAAAAATCATTTATTATCTAGGTACATAATGTATGCAGTTGTAAAAACTATGTGGAAATGCTGGTGGCTATGGAAATATTTGGGAATTCCATTAAATATTTTCCTGATAAAACCAAGGGACTGCAGGATCCATTCATTCACTTTTTGTCTCTGAGGTTTATGTAGGCCTCAGAATAGCTAACAAATCACACTTGCATAGGAATAATTGATAAGTATTATTGTTTGAAAGTAAATATTGGGATCAAGACTACAGTGAGGCAAGCAGGGTATGTAGGACACACAATTTAAGAAGGCACTTAGCTCAGAGTCATGCAAGTGCAAGGTTGGCACCTAAAAACCAGTCCCTCAAATTGTGCTCCCTGGGCTCCTGACTGGAGAAGATCCACCTATGTCATATATGTGTGCTTTCTAAAGTCAGGTGACCCAAGAGGGTACAGAAATTATCAAGCAGTATCATTAATATTGCATACAAGTAAAGCTATGCTGAAGATGATTCAAAAACAGTTGCAACAGTGCATCTCTAGGGAGCTGCCAGAAATTCAAACTGGATTCAGAAGAGGACGTGAAATGAGGGCTATCATTGCTGTTGGCAGATGGATCTTGGCTGAAATCAGAAAATACCAAAAAGGTGCTTGCTTGTAATTTATTGATTATGCCAAGGCATTTGACTGTATGGACCAAAACAAACTAGAGATAACATTGCAAAGAATGAAAATTTAGAATACTTACACAGATGTATATGGTCCAGGGGGCAGTTTTTTGAACAGTACAGGGTGTAGTGAGTGGTTAAAATCAGAAAAGGTGTGTTTCCCAATATGTATTTAATCTATGTAAAGCCCAAACTCACTGCCATAGAGTCAGTGCTGACTCATGGCAACCCCGGTGCGTTTCCGAGATTG